CTTATACGTTTCCACATTGCTTGATCAATCAGTACCAAACTTGACACAGTGATACAGGCTGACATGAGGGAGGATTGACCCCCCCCCCCACCTAATCTATATAAATAAACGTCAATACGTGTGTGTATATATCTGTTCCTTATACGTTTCCACATTGCTTGATCAATCAGTACCAAACTTGACACAGTGATACAGGATGACATGAGGGGGGGGGGGTCTCATAGATTCATTTACTTCAATCCTGCCTAAAAGAATTTCACGCGACTATTGAGGATTCCCTCTTGTATATTTAGCCAATTATCATTATTCATGTTTATCAATCTGTAATTTTATTCTAATTACAGCGTTTACTTTTTGAGTGGGGTAAGGTGGTTGGGGTGCTTGACTACCAACCCTGTCAGTGAACATGTTCGCCCTTTCAGTCGTGGGGGCGTTATACTGTGACGGTTAAATCCCTATATTAAATTTGAGTAGCCCAACAGTTGGCGGTGGGTGATATTGACTAATTGCCATCCCTCTAGTTCATCACCGCTAAATTAGGGACGGCTAACGCAGATAGCCCTCGTGTAGCTTTGCGCGAAATTCAAAACCAACCAAGAACTTTCTGACTATAGCAGACGATAAAATACTTTAGCGACATCTGCTGGCTTAAATCTTATTAACCGCACCTTTATTTCTCCAAAACGTCACACAATCATTGATTAGGTTACATTTCTACACCTTTGTTTTCCTACTCTCGAGATAAGTGAAGCAACAGAGTTTTTTGATATTACTTGACTACTCTGTCCTCGTATTAGCTATTATTATTGTTTCCATGACAATATGAATCACTGAATATTGATCTTTAAGATCGAAGGGGCTAGGGTAGGAGCACACGGTAATTTTTATCCATATTTCAAAGTTTCAAGCTGATTGATCAACGAACAAGAGACTTTACGAGAAATAACGCGAAACTTTTTGTTTAAAAGTACCTTAATACATGACTTGTGTTCGTTTGTTTGTTAAGCGCCAAGCTACAAAAATGGACTATCTATGTTGTACCCACCAGTTTTGATATAAACCTTCAAGGTTACCGCTGAAGCACTTGTGTTCAACATAAAAGATTCAAACAGTTACCTATAACTCACAACAACGAACTATTATATCGGTTAACACTGATGGTATATTTGCGCTAAATAAATTATAATAGGTTTGTTTTTGTTGTTAAGCGACAAGCTACACAATGGACTATCTATGCTTTGACTATCACGGGTACAGGGACCAGACTTTAGCGTTTTAAGCTCTTAGACTTACCATTGAGCCAGTAGGGGCGGTGGAACTTTGAAATAGGACAGTTGTTTAGCTCGAACCCCTCTGGATTCCTCACTAACTGCTCCTACTGTCTCTGTTTACATTCTTTTTATTACCAGAATTGTTTTCTATATTTTTAAACAATCTATGACGATGTTTCGGTTCTAAGATTTTGATATATGTCTGTAGGCCTAATGACGTAGAAGGTTCGAGATAAACAAAAAAGTAACAATGATATTCATATGGTCCCGCCCTTGCGGCCAGACTTTAAACTAATTGTACAACACAAAATGTCCTAAAGACTCGGGCTGCCAGAATCTACCCCCTCCTCCCAATGGTTCAGCGGTGAACTTAAGGGATTATAACACTAAAACTCAGGGTTCCATTATTCGAAACCTGCAGTGGTTACAGGGCAATTAGCCTAACGTTTAGTTTTGCGCTTAATCACATACATACATGATCCCGCCCTTGCGGTCATAATTAAAATTAATTTCACAATAAAGCGAACAAATATTGATATAATAATAATATTATGAGCCGCTACTGAGCAACAATAGGTCACCGGCCACTGAAGAAAATCACATATTATATAATGAAACTTCATTATATCTTAACCCAAGACTAGTTTATCACGTCATGTTATTTCTGTACGTAAAGAACCTTCATTAGACGATTCAAGTCTTTCACAGAATATTCTTTTCCCCTACAAGATGGCCCGGCATGGTCAGGTGGTTAGGGCGCTCGCCCTTTCGTTAGTAAAAGAGTAGCCCATGAGTTGGCGGTGATGTCTAGCTGCCTTCCCTCTAGTCTTTCACTGCTAAATTAGGGACGGCTAGCGCAGATAGCCCTCGTGTAGCTTTGCGCGAAATTCAAAACAGACCACACCCCCACAAGAGATCATAACAACATCACAGAAAATGTTGAACAAGAAGTCATTCCATCTGCATCACAAATACAACTTGGTGAAAGACCAGCAATACAAGACAGGAGGTCATTCTATCTGCATACAATAAGACATAGAAAAACAAAACTTGATAGACTCAGTAAAATAAGATATTAGAGACTTTTTTAATCAAAATTTTTATTATATTTTTACAATAACCTTAATTAATAATATAGTGATTGTAGTGCTTCCTTGATAAAATTATTGTTGTTCATTTTAAATAATAACTTTGTTGCTAATTATGGAATATAAATTTAGTGCACTGTTGTATTTATGTATTAGGATTTTTTAAAGAACTTCACAATCCAGGAAGGGAGCAGTGTTGTGGGCTATGTTTTATTACTTCATTGTTTTTATTCAATAGGGGAGTTTATTTTTTTACATGAGTAATGATTGATTAAGTCTAGAAACTTGAATTTCATGAAAGTTTAGGCCTCTGTAAAATCTCGAAGCTTCCTGTGATACTAGAAAATGAGTACAATATAAAAATGACAAACTGAGTGAGTTAGAATTAGTTAATCAGTTCCATGTCAGTTATTGAGTTAGGCAGTGGGAGTTACTGCGTCTGTTTTTCAGTTAGTAAGTTCGTCAGTCAGTGTTTTGCTATCGATCAGTTAGCAAATAATTTTTGCAAGTAAGTTTATTTGCGAGTTAGGCGTACATTAGTTTGGATTTTCTGTTAAAACTTTGTTTGTGAAATTAGGCTTACTAATGGACTTTAGCATACGTTATTGAACCAGCCCAAATAAGGAGTTACAACACAACTGATTGTACTCGGGTATATTGCCGATTAAATTTCACAAAATGCCTGGAAATTCTAATTTGATATTATTACATAATGTGATCTTACATCACTCGGATCATTCACTTCAAGTTGAACAGCAATGGATATAGTAACTTCATCTGGAAATATCACATAGAAATAGGAATAAGCAAAAGCATTACCAAAATATTTCGCCCCCTGGTGGCTCAGCGGTAAGTATCCTTCCCCTGGTGGACAGATCGTACATATCCCATTATAGTATTGTGCTAAAAAACCCAGCAATATTATCATACTATTTCTCTTTCATTATTTAGCCAATTATTTATCTTGGTGCCGAATATTGTTTTGTTATTCCTAAAAAAAGACCGTAAAACGACATAAACAAATGGATTTTCGTTATGCAGGAGAACGGTCTGTCGCTTTCCTTATTATACCTTTAATATGCAAAAGTTCCTTGTTACGTCATAATAAAATCAAAACAGCAAAAATGAAAAGACAGGCCCAGTAGACCTGTGAGCATCCTTAAGTTAACGTTACGTGTTTGTCCTTATATGGAAGGTTGACAGGACATGCGCAACCCTTTGTAAGCTCACGCGCGACCGGTCAACCTATACCCGATCTTTGTGGATGAAGCAGTTACCCTACTCGTTCGTTCACTCGAAAGCAACCGGCTGGGGTGTTCGAGTGTTAGGATCCTAGTCTTTGTTGGCGTTGATGTAAAGCGTGGTAAGATATCAAGTGACCGGCAAGACACAGAAAATATTTTGGTAAGCCTCAAAAATGATTCAAATTCTAAACTCTAAGGTCAAATAGTAACCTTCCTGTATGGATACAAAAACTGTTAATATGTATGATAATGAAAAACGATAACAACACGTCAGCAGCATGATACACAGATGAGTAAAGAATTAACAAAACGTACAACTAAAAAACTCGCGAATAATTTCGCCCGTCGGAATTAGTCGTGAATTTTTGTATTTATTCTTTGTTTTGGTAATTCTTTATTTATTAATTAATTATTATGTTGATGTGTTATTTGCCGTTTTTTTTTTATGAATTTGTATAAAGAAAGTATTCCGTATCAGAGTGGTGGAGGTGATCAGCTTGTGGCAAGTAAAAAAAAGTGATTAATTAGCTGCCCCCCCCCCAAAAAAAGGATCCCCCAAAGATAAGAGAGTAAGTGACTTAAGCCAAATACCCAAGTAAGTTGGACTTGTATAGATTAGATAGAACATTTGAAAGATGGACGCCATTTAATTATTGATTGTTTTAGTTTTACTTCCGACGGGTAAAGAACCCGGGTAAGATCATTTAAATCTGTTAAATAGGAAGTGATTGTGTATTTACAGTAAAACGTACACCACTTTGCAGTGTCTTTTGTATTCTCTCTCTCCGTGTTATTAACATATTAATGTCTACAAACTGAATATATTTAAGCCAGATTTCTGGTTCTGAGCTAAGCCTTATTTTGACCATGAATCACCTAATGCGTGAAGTTACTGTGAAACTGTATATACGATGAGACAATACAACAAAAACGTGGTACTTTTATAGTTCATAATGTATCTACTTGATATCTTCCCAGTTAGCACTCTTTCGGCTAACCAATAGTATTACTGTACTAGTGACATAGGTTTTAAGTGTCAGTTTTATCCTGTAGTGAATCACTTTAAAGTAGTGGTTATCAAACTTTGCAGGCTCGCTTTCCAATTTTTTTTCGAAATACAAACTCGGGCCTAATTAAAAAAAAACAACAAACACCTAGTAGAAAACGTGTGATTGCAGATTGAAGGGAAGAAAACATTGGCGAGTCTAGAAGTGAGAGGAGTGGTGTGTATATACGCGAAAAACCCAAATTGAACTTATTACAACTTTTATCCTTTTAACATTACTTCTTTTTTTCGCGTATATACACACTACTTTTTTTCGCGTATATACACACTACATTAGCTACAAGTACAACAGTGTACCACCTACATTAGCAACAAGTACAACAGTTTTGGAATCATTTTCCTAACGAAATGTGTTGATGATTTGAGAAACCTGTAATTTGTAAAGTTGGCATGACGGTCAACAAGATGTTTGGTAGGAACGTTAGATAATATTATCAAATCTAAATCGTATTATTTGACCATGCACTCGATATAATAACAATACTGAATCGTAATTTGTTACTTCAAAGAATTGTACAACATTTTCAGTCCATACCTGTAGTAAACAGGAGAGATTTTCTAATGTTATTTTGTATTCTCCAACATATATTTTTTTTATATTCTAGAATATTTTCAACCTAATTTTTACTATGCATAAGCCTGCTCACAACAATTTAAAGTAGGATACATCCGGACTTTTAGAATCAGATACTACACAGATATATAATTATCACAACAAAGTCAACATGTCTGCTTGCTAAGATACGAAAAACCAAAGTAGGAACTTTGGTGGCTTGTTTTTGGGAACATTCCCACGCATGTTTCCAAGTTAAGAGCAGCAAATATAGTCCAGTTGGGGGGTCAGCTGTGTACCTTTTGTAAGTAATCTATTCCCATATTTCGGGTTGAGATAAAACGGTGTCACTTCATCCGGAATGTTTGGATTCGAGGGTTCAAGATGTGGGCTCCATTTCCTTTGTCTCTGTTACTCTCCACGGATTTTTGTTATGTTGTACAAAGTCTTGCACGTTCATTTAAAACTTCAGAGTCTATACGATGTTATAATTTGATCTTTATTTCGAATTCGGTCCGGGTTTTCTTCAGTTTTGTTTATTTTGATCCCATGAATTAAGATCCTTGCTTTGACATTACCAGTTTTGATGAGTTATACAAAGTAATTAATTGTAAAGGTGCAGATATAACAAAAGAAGTCAGTTGTGAAGGTAGAGTGTAAAGCAGTGGTTACCAACCTGGGGTTCGCGTAGGTAATACTATCTCATTAAATAAGTTTTTTAAACTGATGTTTATATATATATGTATGTGATCGATAGTGAAAAGTGGGAGAACGAGTTAATTATTAGTTAATAAAAACAGTTTGTTGGGTAGGCGGAATCTTTCAAAAACATGGGATTCGTGGGAAAAAAATGATAATAATAGGGGGTTCTTGGTGGAGAAAAGGTTGAGAACCACTGGTGTAATGTGTAACAACTAGGACGTGTAGGGGGGTTGGGTAGTATAATGTGTAACATAGGATCGTCAAGCCTATTTAAACACTGCTGTGGAACTGCATTTTGGGTGAGATCTTCGGATTTGTTGTTTTTTAAGAATTATTTGGAAACGTATAAACAAAAGCTAAAACTGATAACAATTGTTATTGTTTAGTTTTGGCGACCATTATACAGCTACGTTTCTAAGCCTAACATCGTTTCTCAACCAAATCGTCCAACAATGAACAAGACTACAAGTAGAATGTGTACACGTTTCTAAGCCTAACATCGTTTCTCAACCAAATCGTCCAACAATGAACAAGACTACAAGTAGAATGTGTACACGTTTCTAAGCCTA